ATGGAATGTGCCCCAATCCTGGCCAATGAGACTCAGAAGACATCTGCTTGGGGGTTTCTAGAAACAGTTCCTCTTACTCCTTTGGATATTGCTCTGTCTGGATGGGATGCAGCAGCCAGATTGGGACAAGGGGCTCACTGTAGGCTTGACCTCCCAGGCTCAAGTGATTCCCCCAACCTCAGCATGCTGAGTAGCTGGGACTACAGGTCCACAGCACTGCTCCTGGCTCCTTTGCAGCAGCCAAATTGATACGGGGAAGGGCAGTCTTAGTATGAAGTTAACGGGGAAAAATCACAGGGAAGAGAGTTGGAAAGAGGAGTTCTTGATGTCATTATTTAACCATTCTTGAACCTCTGGACTTTTAGCATGTAAGATAAATTCTGGCCAAGCATGGTGGCTCACACCTATAATCCCAGCACTTTGGGAGGCCAAAAGTCCAAGGCAGGAAGTCCCAGGTAGATGATTATTTGAGCCCAGGAATTAGAGACCAGCTTGAGCAACATAGGGATACCCCATCTCTACAAAAAGGTTTTTTAAAAAATTAGTTGTTGTCTGGGCACGATGGTTCACACCTGTAATCCCAGCACTCTGGGAGGGCCAAGGCGGGCAGATCACCTGAGGTCAAGAGTTTGAGACCAGCCTGGCCAAAATGGTAAAACTCTGTCTCTATTGAAAATAGAAAAATTAGCTGGGCCTGGTGGCTTGTGCCTTAAATCCCACCTACTACAGAAGGTGAGGCAGGAGAATCACTTAAACCTCGGAGGCGGAGGTTGCAGTGAGCTGAGATCACGCCACTGCATTCCAGCCTGGGCAACAGAGGGAGACCCTGTCTCGAAAAAAAAAAAAAAAAAAGCTGGGCACGGTGGCACACACCTCTGGTGGCAGCTACTAGGGAGGCTGAGGTGGGAGGAACTTAAAGGATCACTTGAGCCCAGGAGGTCAAGGCTGTAGTGAGCTGTAATAGCACCACTGCACGCCAGCTTGGATAATGGAGGAAGACCCTGTTTTTAAAAAAAAAAATTAAGAAAAAAATGACATTAAATTTCCTCATTGTTTAAACCATTTGGAGAATTTTCTGTTATTTGATGCCAAAGCATCTAAAATGACCTAAGGCTCAAAACTGAAGAGTGCTCACTTCACAAATTTACCTGCAGTCAGTCCTAGTTGACTTAAACTTTTCACAAATAAATTTTTAAAAAAGCATTTAACGTCCTGAAAGCCATAGAGATTATCTACAACTCAGAAGAAAACAGTCCATTATCTCAGTTACTAATACTGAAGTTCATAGCTTTATAAATTCCATAATCTTAGAGAAAATAAACAGTGCAGTACCTGTTTCTTCAATTCTGTATCTAAAATATCCTTTCAACAGGATGTTTTTTCTAAGGAGTTGGCAAACTTTTTTCGTTAAGAGCAAGATGTGGATATTTCCCACATCAAATCATAAACCTTCTGTTTTTAAAAGACACCATTTCTCATTGTCAACTATATGCCATATGCTAGAAGAAAACAAATAGTAAACTTCATCTTTAATCATTAATCAAGAAAATCTGTACAAAACAAATCTGCACATATACACGCTTGGGAATTAGCATAGGGAATTCTATTGTGTGCTTTTATTCAAATGATGAAAACATGAGAAATATGATTTACTCAATGTTTAACACAAGTTAATAAGCACCCTTTCAATGTCTGTTACAATGTAACCCTATTTTAACAAGACTTTAAAATCACAAATAAGGGATACAAAGTATATGTTTATCCCTGCATACCTACTGGCATTTTCCGTAAACAAGGAATTGCCAACAGCAGCTACCTATGGAAAAAGAGGACTGGGAAAGGGGCTGGGGTGTTCTAGGGAGTAAGGAGAACTTTGATCTTTTCCTTCACATTTTTCTGGGTTTTTAAACTTTGCCAAAAAATATATGACTTTTATAGTTTTTTTAAAAAATGGCTTAAACTACACATTCAATATAAATATTAAGATATATACCAGAAACTTAAATAGGAAAAGCAGGATTTCTCTAAAATAGGCCAGAAATTCAGGAACTCTCTGGGGCCAGACTGGACACCTCTACCACCAAAGAAGTGTGCACAACCTGGCTGCAACAATCAAGGAAGTTACCAGAACAGCCTTAACTGGATCAGTAACGCCATGAGACTTACAATGAGGGTGGAGTCCATAGCAACCCAATCCAGCTCCACTGAATCTTGTACCCCAGGGGCAGTATCAGTTAAGTACCACCTGCCAGCTCGTGGTCTGCAGGAAGGTCCCTGACACCCAAAGAGTGACTTGGTTGACTTCCCAGATTCACAGAAGTAACATGAAATTATATTTAGCTACACCTTACAGATAAACTCCACTAGCATGGCTCAGTCTTCACAACCTCAATAAAACATATTTTTTTAGACTTTGGTCTACAGGAAATACTGGTTAAAATTTGACCCCGTTTTTAAACATTAGTAGCATAAATTAAAATGCATTAAATTAAAAATGGATGAAAAAAACAAGAGTCTCACCATTATTCACCATTTCAGACTCTACTATATCAGATCACACAGAGTAGGTTAAAAGATTGAGAACTGCAAGCAAAATAAAAACACATAAAGAGTTTCACTTCAACAGCCTGCCAAAGATAAAAAATGAACAATAAAATCCAATTCTGGCCGGCCCAGTGGCTCATGCCTGTGATCCCAGCACTTTGGGAGGCCAAGGCAAGCAGAACACCTGAGGTCCAGGAGTTCCAGACCAGCCTGGTCAACATGGCAAAACCCCGTCTCTACTAAAAATGCAAAAATTAGCTGGGCATGGTGGTGCCCGCCTGTACTCCCAGCTACTCAGGAGGCTGAGGCACCAGAATCACTTGAACCAGGGAGGCGGAGGTGCAGTGAGCTGAGATCACGCCACTGCATACCACCCTGGGCGACAGCAAGATGGGCTGACAGGACAACTGGATTAAAATAAGCATCAGTTTCATTAAAAAGGACTAATTTGAAGATAAATCTTTTGACTGCAGCTCTTTAGAGAATCTAAAGTGAACTTGATGGACAGTGGAAGAAATCACAACATGGAATTCCTTGAGTAAAAATGTACTGACTCCAAAAAAAAAAAAAAAAATCCAATTCTTCTCTTGGGAATAGTAAACCAATAAACAAAAAACAACGCGTTCCCCATCCCAGAGACTAATGAGACTCAGCAAGGGAGGGAAAGAACAGCAAAGTCTGTCATTTCTTAGCATTAAAAGTAATTAAATTTTCAGTTAATTAATCAAAATTTCCAAAAAAAAAAAAAAAAGACAGACTCAACGTATTTTCCCTACACCCAAATTACATCTATTCTACAACTACTTCTGAGCCCCTCCTACATACTCTTCCATGTGTGTGGATACAGGAGTGAACAAAACGTTGTATGTGTTTCCTAAGGTCAAGAACTCAACGTTATTTCAGTGCCATAATCAAATTCTGTCTCATTTAAATAAAACTGTAAAGAATGCCAATGTCTATTCATTCCTTACTAATACACCAACTGTTTATTAAATTCCATCATATATAAAAAAGCGATTAAGCAAAGAAAGTCATTGCAATCCTCTTTACAGCATACGATTAACTTCAAAAGGAGTGTTTTACATGTTGCTGTATTTGAAGTAAAGTATTGTTAGTCTCTGGAAGATAAAGTACACTGGGGAAAGCAAAGGAATTCTGAAAATAAAAAACTGCAATCCTGAATATTAGTCTCCTTTCTCAAATCCAGTGATGCTGTTTTGGCAAATGGATCAAGCCATTATTTATCCAGCAACATGAACGGGGTAATTGTTCCTTCTTAGCTCCATCAGTCATATAAAAGAGTATTTAGTGTTCCAAAAAAAAAAAAAAAGAAGTATGCTCCGTAAACAATAGATTGCAATGTCTATATCAAAGTACTCGTTTATCAAATAAACCCTTATCATCTTAGGCTTTTATATTTACATCCTGCCAGTGTTAGTGCCACAAGACTGCCATCGAGCTCCTCAGCAACGTGTCTTCCACAAAATCTCAACTGGATTTTAAAATATATTTTTATGAAGTTGATTTTTAACACACCTCCAACCTAATAATTACTCTTTAAGAAAAAAAAAAAAAAAACCAAATATTGGGAATGTTTGAAGAAACGTGACATCTGTTTAGGAAGTGATGTAGTCTGTTTAAACTGAAGAAAAAAAAAATGCACTGACCCCTTTCAAACTTAGTCCGGGAATTGAGCTTAGAATCCTTTAAAGGAAAAGAGGGCTATCATGAACTGAACTTGTCTGGTGGGGTCTGAGACGCTAAAACTGAGCGGCCTCAAGGGCCCGAGAAAGTTAGGGGCTCCAAGCTGCAACAGCAGCAGGGAGAGCTGTGCACGGGAACCGCGGCCCTGGCCTGGCGGGTGCTGGCGGTGGGAGCGGCTGGTGCCCCAAACCCTGTCATGCAACATCCCCTTTGCCACTGGGGCGGAACGCACGCTGTCTAGTAATTCAACACCCCTCCTTTCAAACCGGAGGCCGGGGGACAAGTTCTAATAAATGCAAAATCGAATTCTACCTACGATGAATATCTGGATTTGCAAACAACCCTTGGGACGACGCCAGCCCGGGCCCGGGGCCCAGTCCAGGCAGCGGTAGCCCACCGTCCCCAGGGCGCGGGGGTCCGAGGCCGGCGCTGAAGGCAGACCCCGCGCCCCGAGGAGAGGAGAATCGCGCGGCGGCAAGGGTCGACTTTGGCCCGGCAGGCACGTTCGGGCCGCGGCTCAGCCACGACTCGGGCAGGGCCTCGCGGCCCCCGCCAGCCCGGATAGGAGCCTGGCCGGCGGGGCCATTACCACGGTGGCGCCTCGACCGAGGGGCGCGAGCGGAGGCGCGCCCAGGCCCTGGCGGCGGCGCCACGGCCGGGCAGCGCGGGCCCCGCAACTTCTCGCCGCCACCTCAGCGTCTCCGGAGGAACCGGGAGCGGGGAGTGGAGGAAGGGAGGGCGCCGCGGCTTACCCGGAGAGCGGGCGACTTCTGCCCGCCGGCGTGTGGCTGGGGCGCTGCGTGGCGGCGCGGCTGCGGCAGGGAGGGAGAGGCGGTGGTGCGAGCGCTGGGCCGCGGGAGACGACAGGCGCCGCCGCCACCGCAGACAGCTCCGCAATATGGCCGCTCGGCGCCTCCTCGGGGAAAAGGCGGGGCTGCCCGGCGCCCCCCGCCTCCCTCTGCCGGCCGGCCGGCCTGCCTCGCGCCGCAGCCTGAGCGCCAACGCCGCCGCCGGGGGCCGCCCGCGCCCCGCCCCTCCCGCGGGCTCGCAGCCGCAGGCCTGGCTCCGGGCGTGGCCGGGGGTAGCGGTCTAGGGCCGGCCAACGCGAGGGGGGAGGCTGCGGGCTCGGGAGCCCCCAGGGAAATAGGACGAACGCGCCGGAGGGTCGAGCCCTTCTGGAGAGCGCTGGGCTCGAGCGAAGCCTGCGGTCGAGGGAAGCGGAGCCGCCCAGCCCAAAGCTCGGAGTGTGCCCGCCGCCTCCCCAACGAGTGGAAACTTGAAACTCCCGCTGGTGCCAGCAAACTCACTGAGGGCGTTGCCGTCGCCCCCAGAGGAGGAATTCTTCCCAGAGGGAGCCGGGGACCAAATGGAGCGTGAGACTTGGCTGTTAGGTTTGAAGATCCTGGACTGGGAGAGAGAAAAGGGCCTACCTGAGCGGAATTTAGATTTGCAACAAAGAACGTTTACATTATTTTGGCAGGTTTTAACCAACTAGAAAAACTTAATTTTTCAGCGACAATTTTAAAACTTCACCAAAACTTCAATGGATAAGACCCCAAATCAGGAGTGCAAATTTTAATCCAAGCAAGGATGTGTGATAATTTTTTATTACCAACGATATGCTTTGGCAGTTGGAAGGAGTGGGTTAGCAAGAAAAAGTTGGAAGTAGGGCCCCAAAGCGCCGCCAAAGCTACATAATTCTAGATTTAGAGAAAGTTAGGCATTCAATCTTAAGACTAAGTCTAACCCACTCACTTTAGTGGCTGGGATGAGACAGGAAGCTCCTGATTTCTGGATCAGTCTTCTGTCCATGCTGCGTCCCCTCAGCATTGTCGGATGGGATGATTCAGGGAGCAAAACTTGCTGTGAATATACAAACAGCAAGCGCACAAAATCAGATTCGCCTGGCTTGCCCTGTTTGCAATAGTTTTTTTGGCTTAGCTTTTGTGAACAAACTTTAGATTCAAATTACAAAACTGAGTATATGTACTTTTATAGGACAAATAACTCCTATACTTCCTGCCTTAGCATTTACCTTAGGTGAGACAGTAGCTTTTCCAGGAAATATCTGTAAATCACTTTCACTAGCCTGCCTCTCCACTGAGTTTCCACTATTGCCCTTTGAGACCTCTCTGAACAATTAAAAGCCCCCAAGAGACTCAAGGGTAAAACTCAAGGGCCTTTAGATAGCAAATTCCTCAAGGATGAGAACCAGGTGTGTGCTTTGTAACCAAATAGGTTCTTGTGGTTCTTAGGGACCACCAAAAGATCACTCCCTACCTTCTCCCTAGGTTGCAAGAATTATCTTGGTTATTGTTCAGCCTACCACTTCAGGTTGCAGGCATAGTCAAACTATTATGTAATACTTCCCATGAAGTAGGTAAGAAAAAAAGTATTTTGTAAATTCCTACATAGTACACTAGTCAAATGAAATTATATAACACACTTTTGCAACTGAAAGTGAAGGATTCACTGTTTTTAATCAGGTGCCAGACACTGGTGTGAAATTCTTTTACATGACTGTCTGTTTTAATGGTTACAAAAACCCTCTGGGATAAATACTGTTATTGGCCCTTTTAAAAAACAATCCATGAATAAAAACAGCTTAAAAAGAGGTAATTTCCCCAATGTAACAAAACTAGGAAGTGGCAGAGCGGTGACCAAACCCAAATGTATATTTGACTCCAAAAGCCTTGATTTTATCCTATCCTCTACAACAGCAAACAGACCAAAAATTGCAACATTTTAGTTGGGTATCATATTAGTAAATATTTAAGTAAAAGATAACATTCAAGGCTGGTGAGATAAAAAGGGTACTCTCAGACATTGTGAGTGGGAGTGTAAACTGAAATAATCTCTTTATAAAGCTATTTGGCACTGTGATTCAACCCTTAAGAATGTTCATGGCAGGGTGCTGTGCTCACGCCTGTAATCCCAGCACTTTGGGAGGCTGAGGCAGGCAGAGCATAAGGTCAGGAGATCGAGATTATCCTAACCAACATGGTGAAACCCCGTATCTACTAAAAATACAAAAATCAGCTGGGTGTGGTGGCACGCGCCTATAATCCCAGCTACTCGGGAGGCTGAGGCAGGAGAATCGCTTGAACCCAGGAGCCAGAGATTGCAGTGACCGAGATCACACCACTGCGCTTCAGCCTGGCGACAGAGCGAGACTCCATCTCAAAAAAAAAAAAAAAAGAATGTTCATAACTGGCCATGCTGAAGCTCACAACAGTAATCCCAACACTTTGGGAGGCTGAGGTGGGAAGGTCGCTTGAGCCCAGGATTTTCAAGACCAGCCTGAACAAAACAGTGAAACCCCATTTCTACAAAAAAAATTATAAAAATTAGCCAGGCATGGTGGCATGTACCTATAGTCCTAGCTACTCAGGAGGCTGAAGAGTCAGAAGAATCCCTTGAGTCCAAGAATTTGAGGCTGCAGTGAGCTATGATTGTCAGAGGCGTTGACCACAAAGCGACTCCATCTTGAATGGGGCTGGGTAAAATAAGGCTGAGACCTGGGCTGCATTCCCAGGAGGTTTGGCATTAGACGTCACAGGATGAGATAGGAGGTCAGCACAAGATACAGGTCATAAAGACCTTGCTGATAAAACAAGTTGCAGTAAAGAAGCTGGCCAAAATCCACCAAAACCAAGATGGCAATGAGAGTGACCTCTGGTCATCCTCGCTGCTCATTTTATGCTAATTATAATACATAAACATGCTAAAAGACACTCTCGACAGCACCATGACAGTTTACAGATGCCATGGCAACATCAGGAAGTTACCCTATATGGTTTAAAACGGGGAGGAACACTCAGTTCTGGGAATTGCCCACCCCTTTCCCAGAAAACTCATGAATAACCCAACCCTTGTTTAGCATATGATCAATAAATAACTATGGGTAGTTTTAGTCCAGCAGCCCAAGCTACTGCTCTGCCTATGGAGTAGCCATTCTTTTATTCCTTTACTTTTTTGTTTGTTTGTTTGTTTGTTTTTGAGACGGAGTCTCACTCTGCCGCCCAGGCTGGAGTGCAGTGGCCAGATCTCGGCTCACTGCAAGCTCCGCCTCCCGGGTTTATGCCATTCTCCTGCCTCAGCCTCCCAAGTAGCTGGGATTATAGGCGGCTGAGACCACGCTCACCTAAATTTTTTTTTTACTTTTAGTAGAGACAGGGTTTCAACCTCTCGGCCAGGCTGGTCTCGAACTCCCGACCTCAGGTCATCTGCCCACCTTGGCCTCCCAAAGTGCTAGGATTACAGGAGTGAGCCACGGTGCCTGGCCAATTCCTTTACTTTTCTGTCACTTTATGGGTTCACCTTGAATTCTTTCTTGCATGAGATCCAAGAACGCTCTCTTGGGGTCTGGATGAGGACTCCTTTCCAGTAACATGATGGCACCACTGCACTCCAGCCTGGGCAACACAGTGAGACCCTGTCTCAAAAAAAAGGAATGTTCATAACTCTTGGAACCTGTAATCACATATCTGGAATTCTTTCTGAAGGAAATAATCTGAAATACAGCAAAAGCTTTATTCATAAATGCACAATATTATTTATAAAATGCAAAAATTAAAAACATGAAAACTGGCTGGGTGTGGTGGCTCACACCTGTAATCCTAGTACTTTGGGAGGTGGGAGGATTGCTCAAACCCAGGAGTTCAAGACCAGCCTGGGCAACATAGTGAGACCCCATCTCTACCAAAAAAAAAAAAAAAAATGTCGGGGCATGGTGGTGTACGCCTGTGGTCCCAGCTACTTGAGAGGATGAAGTGGGAGGATCGCTTAATCCCAAGAAGTCAAGGCTGCAGTGAGCCATGATCAGGCCACTGCACTCCAGACTGAGCAACAAAGCAAGACCTGTGTCTCCAAAAAGACCAAAACCAAAACGAAACAAAACCTTTTTTTTTTTTCTTTTTTTGAGATGGAGTCTCGCTCTGTTGCCTAGGCTGGAGTGCAGTGGTGCGATCTCAGCTTACTGCAACCTCCGCCTCTCAGGTTCAAGCAATTCTGCAGCCTCAGCCTCCGGAGTAGCTGGGACTACACTCATGCACCACCACGCCCGGCTAATTTTTTTGTGTTTTTAGTAGAGATGGGGTTTCACCGTATTGGCCAGGCTGGTCTCGAACTCCTGAGCTTGTGATCCACCCACCTTGACCTCCCAAAGTGCTGGGATTACAGGTGTGAGCCATCGCACCCAGCCCAAAACTTTCTGAGTTGAGTTTTACTCCAATAATGGATTGCCAATTACATAAAAGCAGCAAAGCCACTCTTTCCTAAGAATAACTGTGGAAAGCTGAGCTGACAGAATTTTATGGTCAGGGGTCAGGTTTACTATTGATTGTAGTATCTACACACATGCAGAAACAATTTTGTTTCTTACATCAGATACATGAACTTTTAAATGAAATATTAGAGATTTAATTAACAATTTTCTTTCTTATTTTTATTCCAACACCTCAGGTTTCAAGGGTTAAAACCATACACACTTGCTAAAACTACTTTTCTTTTAAGAAAAAATAGTATTAATCATTAGTTACAAGAAATTTTCTAGTCTGTCATATAATGTACTTAAGAAATGCTCAGCTGGACACAGTGGCTCTCATGCCTGTAATTCCAGCACTTTGAGAGGCTAAGGTGGGCGGATCACTTGAGCCCAGCAGTTTGAGACCAGCCTGGACAACATGGCAAAACCCTGTGTCTACAAAAATAAATAAGTCAGGCAGGTGGCGGGGGGGGAGCGCGCACCTATAGTCCCAAGCTGCTAGGGAGAGTGATGTGGGAGGATTGCTTGAGACCAGGAGGTTGAAGCTGCAGTGAGCCATGATGGGGCTACTGCACTCAAGCCTGGGTGACAGAGCAAGACCCTGTCTCAAAAAAAAAAAAAAAAAAAAGCCGGGCGCGGTGGCTCACGCCTATAATCCAGCACTTTGGGAGGCCGAGGCGGTGGATCACCTGAGGTCAGGAGTTCTAGACCAGCCTGGCCAACATGGTAAAACCCT